GCCCCTATTTGCATTTTGAAAATCCATCCCCCACATCCCCTATGGTATACCAGAGTCAGGGGATGACAGATTTCTCTGGTGTTGGCTTCTGTTTTCCCTTAGGGCTTTTTTTTGGTGCAAAATCTAATTGCACTGGCCTCAGCAAGTAAACGCACAGCTCTTTGTCAAGGCTCTGCTTAGGTCCCCTTGGTTCTTCCTTTGAGGGGGAAAAAAAAAGGGTTATAATTAGGTTTGATCCAACCTTTTTGGAAGGGGCCACTCCACAGTTTCTGGTCTCTTTATATCACAAATCTTTTTTCATGCTGTATAAAATTCTTGCTTCCTGAGGATTTGCTGAACATAATGAAGGTGCAGGAGGCATAGTATTTTTTAGTAGAATAGGGGGGAAAAAAAAAATACCGTGAGGGAGGAATGGGGGTAGAGGCATTCAGATGTGGATAGATCTCAGAAGCCACCTGCTGCCTCCTTCAGTTCTGTGGTGGACACCTACAGTATTTCCCCTTCTTGCCAGGAAAAGGAGGGAAAATGCAAAGGTGCACTTGGCAGTGCTAAGCTTGAAAAGCCATATTTAAGGTATTAATGCCTGTTGTGCCTCTGGAGTTCAGTTTGTTCGAGATTAATGGATTCCTCGAGATGTAGCTTTGTGCCAATTTAAATGCAAAGACACAAAGGTCTACCTCTAACTTTATCCACCAGATAATGACAGCCTGTCTTTTGCAGGAGTGAGCTAAAGATCACGGACATTTATTTCTGAAGTTGGCAAGGCTGGTACCCAACCATCATGCATTACCGAGGTCTAAATCCATCCGTTGTACTAGGGGATGGACAGCAAGAATTTTGCAGAGTTATTACACCATCTCACACAAGAGAGGAGGCCCTCATGACTGTCTTGCCTGGAAGCATTGGGCTACGAGTCCCATCACTTCATCACTGCTTCACCTCCCTGTGCGTCTGGGTGTGAGTTTTCTGGGACAGATCCTGTCCTTCACGGCATGTTCAACCACCGCCTACTGCAACAGGGCTCTGTACAGGATGGAGGGTATGGCATAAAACCCAGTGCAAAGAGCTCAGAGGCAACGCAGGCAATGCCTGGCACCCTCCACCATCTCCTCAGCCAGGGCCAGCTCGTTCCCTTTCATTTTCTAAGGAAAATGACAGGAAGCTCCCCATAGAACTGAATAACCTTTCATCTTGCTATTGCCATCCGTTGAGATGAATCATTTGACACCTGCTGTTGCCTTATCTGTCTCAGTTCTTGGGGTGAAATGCCTCTGGGAACAAGATTAAAAGTCAGCAGTAAAGTTTAAAAATCTCTCAATAGACTATAGAGTGACGTGCTTTCAGCTCTCTGGCATATGGTGCTGGGTACAAGGAGGGAATGGAAAATGTCTGATGGGGGACAGTAAAGCCCTGGGGAACACAAGAGCTAAGCATGGTGCATCCTCACTGGAGACAATCCCAGCAGAGTCACGAGAAATGTTACCCTGTGCCTTGTTGGCCCAAATGTTAGCTGAACGCTTTGCAGCAGCACTTTGGAGCTATAAACCTAAGTTGAAGTTCATTCACCAAATGGGAAAAGGGAAAGGGCTTTTAGATTCAAAAGAGTCTCAAAAATCTTCTTGGAGAACCCATGAGCTGTATCAGACACAGCACAGAAAGACTCATCCTCCCACGCTCAGAAGGACCAGCTCATTGAACATCCTTATCCCAATGCACCCAACATGCTACAGAAATGGCGGCAGCAAAGCCGTTCTCATTGCCATGGCAAGATACACTGAGAAGAACAAGAAACCTCAGCCTCTTTTCACCGCTTAAGTACACCATCCATGTGCAGTGTTGGTCATAGGATCATTCACAGGTTGGAAAGCACACAGGAGGATGTCCCAAAGCTCTCCAACACCCCTGCTAATACCACAACTTCCTACCTTTTTAACACCCCAAGCAACACCCCTCCCAAGGCATAGAGCATCCTCCCTATCTCCTGCTATGGGGCCAGCTTTGGGTGATAGGTCACAGGCTTGACAACAAGCCATTTATGTACACCAAGTAGCTGTGATTTGTCACTAAACATCGGGGAGTACCAGGGATAATTGGCAACCTCATTACATGAGGTTTAACTACTCTCCAGAAACGACAAACTATAATCATCACGTTGGTGCTTGAAATGAATTGTTTGGAACATTACAATCACAAAGGCCCCTTTTTCCAGTTGGAGCACCCTACGGAGACATGTTTTCAATTTGCAGTAAAGATGAGGAACATAGAAAGCAAAGTAATAAATTAGAGGGAGGCTTGCAGCCCAGTCCACCTAGGACAGTGTGGTGAGGGAATAGCAAAATACAGCGTTGAGCCAAAATACTGCTTTCTAACAGCAACATAGGCAGCAAGTCTCAGATCTGGTTAGAAAACAAAAGGCAAAATCCCCACCCAGCTTGAAGAATAAGGGGTGAAGAAAATAGTGTAGGCAGCAGGAAGTAAATATCTCCTGCAAAGAGGCAGCTCTTATAAAAGAGGAGATGGCGTAAGGAGGAGGCACTGAAGATATCTCAGGTGGGTTTAATATGCTGAAGTCCATGTGGCCTTAGTAAAATTAGTATCACAAAGGATGTGAAGGAAAAGGAAGATACCTACGTCAAAAAGGCTTCGACAGATACAAGCTTGAAGCAACAGTAATGTTCTCACACATGGAAAGAAGGTCCTTCTAGTCTATCACCTTGCCTCCTGCAACTGTTTTTGCCTGACTTCAGAGGGGGACATAAACCTCCCTCACCCATGTCACGGAGGTCAGGGCATGGCACAGCATCTTCTCAGAGACGGACGTGCTCTGCCTGACCTCCACTGCTGCTCAGTGTCTGCCCTGAAGCATGTGGGCTGAAGGCCCAAATTAATCAAAGCTTCTGATAACAAGGATGCTGCCTTTGAAATGGCCAAGAACCTGCCAACAAAGCCTGCATCCTCATGAAATCTCAGCTGAAGGAAACTTGGAGACTGACAGGACCTGATGTGGGGCCTTTTTTGATCACCTGCTGTCCCCTTACTCAAGAGTAAGATTTCTCAGCAAGCCCTTTAGACACTGGTAACGAGCCAAGACCCGAAACCAAAAAGACATTAAGGTCTTGGTACTCGTCTGGATCTGGGCCAAAGACTCACTGCTCTGGCCATGAACCAATGTACAGATGGAGCCTCTTCCAAAAGGTTGCCACTATCGCCCGTTAGAGCCATGAGTTCAAACCAACTTGTGTTAGACATGAATACTGTGCAATCCTACGGACTGCCACTGAGGACTACAGGTCTGGGACCCCCACCCACACAGCTGGGAGCTTCTGGCTCCACAGTACATGTCTGTTCCCCGAGAGCACTTTTGGGGAGAGAAATCGAGGATTCGGAGCAGCTCCCTCTCTAGGTATTCAGCAGATTGGTACCCAGAGCAGGAAGGAACCGCACAGAAGACAAGACAGCTGTCAGCTGTACATCCCAGCTCTCCTACGCTCGTGGAAATGAAGCTGGACAGAAGCCAAAATGTTTCCAAATCTAGGGAATTTGCAATTTCAAAATTCATTTAATTCCACTGTGAGTTTTCTTTTAATTCCTTGTGAATGAGCTTCTCTCTCCAAACCTGAAGGATTCCATATCAATTTCAGTCCTTTTAGGTTTTTAATCTCTCTCGCTAGACAGACAAGCAGAATGAAATGAATTTCTGGTTTAAATCATTGCAAAACAAAACACATTTAGAGCAGAATGTTTCAGGGGTGTTAAAGATAAAGACAAGGAAGCATTCTGAAACCAAATTTCATCAGAACTTACCACTCAATTCAGTAGAAGTGATATTTCCGTATAAAAAAAAAAATATTCTAACAAAATATTTCCAAGCACGTCCTGGAGCAGGCGGTAGGTTAGAGGCAGCATGTTAACCCCGAGTGAGCGGCAGATATGAGCAGAGGGCACAGTTGCCCTGACACAGCTGAGCATCATCTCCAGCCCCGAACAGCAGAGAGGTCCCGAAAGCAGAGCAGAGGTAGGAAAATGAAGCTGTGCCCCTAGGACAGCAAAGATTGCCACAGCCCACAAATGAATGGCTTTCACAGACCAGACGGAGAGCGCAGGGCTGGAACAACCTTGCCAGGTGGCCAGCCGAGAGCAAAGAGCAATGGCAGCATTTATCCATCCTCTCCCTGCTATTAATCCTTCACTTCCCTGTGCTCCCAAATGGATTTACGTTGCTTAAATGAAATACTAATCAGGTAAAGCAGTGTACTATTCATATGCCAGTTTAGCAATGCCAAGCACCTCCCAGGACTGTCCCAAAGCTTTCTCGCCTGAGCCACCATGCCCATGGGCAGAGCTGCTGTGGCAGCCTCTGCTGCCTTTGATTGCCTCTTCACCTTGTGCTGTTCAAAGGCACCGTTTTCATTTCAAACTCAAAGCTCCTCTTAAGGTTGCTTCTTCTCCCAACATGAAAATATCCCACAAGAAGAGACGCTGGGGCTTCCCAAAAGCTGGGCCCTCCCTCTTGTATAGACCTTGGTAGAGATGTAAAAGACTTTTTGACACTTTGAGCAGGTTGCTTTAATATTAGTCCTAGCTTTTCTGCACGCTAAGGCTAGAGAAAGCCAAGGAATCTCACCCAGCCTTGCATCTCTCTGTCTTTCAGCAGATCCTGTAGTATCTGAGCATCCTCCCACGTGCCAGCCACGCCACGTCACCAGCTGACAGCTGTGACCCAGCTGGGAGCATGTCTCCAACTGACACCATCGCCCCTCTTCCTCTCCCGCCGTATCATGCTGTGACTTGTGGCAGTCACTGCAAGGCTTTAAAAAAAGAAACTAAAAAATAATCAAACCCTATCAACAGCCAAAAAAGAGACTCAGTTTAGCCTCCAACGATGGATGCACTATTGATACGCAGTGTGTTTGCACAATCAGTCCAGACAAACAACTCTTCCTCCCCAGGCTGTGCACACAAGATGGACAACGCACACCTCCGTGGATACACACCTGCCCAGGACTGAGCTGCAGAGACAAGACTTGCTAAAAACGAGTCAGAGTTACGGCCACACAAATCCCCCTGAGCATTTCCACCCCCAGCCCCATGTACAGGTACACCCTCTGCTGTTCACCTTCACAAATACATGCAAACCCCAAAGCCCATAATAGGACTGAAGACATGACTATGCACACACATATATGTTTTTAACCTCTGGATATAATTACCAGTCCTTTTCATCCTAGGAAAAAGACTAAAACCTCTAACTTTCCCCAAAGGAAACTATACAATCAACAAATAAATTAGGAATACCTATATTTATCCAGCAGCTGAAAAATAATGTATATTGAGACCGCATCTGGAATATTGTGTCCAGTTCTGGGCCCCTCAGTTCAAGAGGGACAGGGAACTGCTGGAGAGAGTCCAGCGCAGAGCCACAAAGATGATGAAGGGAATGGAGCATCTCCCTTATGAGGAAAGGCTGAGGGAGCTGGGTCTCTTTAGCCTGGAAAAGAGGAGACTGAGGGGTGACCTAATTAATGTTTATAAATACGTGAAGGGTGAGTGTCAGGAGGATGGAGCCAGGCTCTTCTCTGTGACATCTAGTGATAGGACAAGGGGCAATGGGTTCAAGCTGGAACATAGGAGGTTCCGCTTGAGTATGAGGAAAAACTTCTTTACAGTGAGGGTGACAGAGCACTGGAACAGGCTGCCCAGAGAGGTTGTGGAGTCTCCTTCTCTGGAGACATTCAAAGCCCGCCTGGATGCGTTCTTGTGTGATCTGATCTAGGTGTCCTGCTCCGGCAGGGGGATTGGACTAGATGATCTTTCGAGGTCCCTTCCAATCTCTAACATTCTGTGATTCTGTGATTCTGTGATTCTGTGATACAGAGGAAGATTCAACCTATCACCTTAAACACTGCTCATCAGAAATGAGTGAGATACATTCACCTTCCCTTGTGGTCCGGGTCTGAACATCTCCTCCAGACGGGCACTTTAGCACACACGACTCTTGACCACGTTCTGACTGTGACAATAGCGGCAAGGGACTTGAAAGGAGATGTCAGCTACCAACACCGCGTTGTCTGTGACAGCCTCAAAGGCATAACTAAAAAGGTCATTCCCTGTCTTATTTGATGTGATGTAAATTGTATTTCAAAGTCTACCTACAAAGAGACTTCTGGAATACCGACTGATCCGAAATGGGGTTACCTACAATGGGGAGGCTAATGTGGAAGGCTGCGGTACCTCCTGATGTAATCAATACTTTGAAGCATATGGAGGTGGCAGTTTAATTTCTCCACTTCAATGAGTAAGATGCTCTAGGAACCTCCCACGGCCTCCCTATGTGCAAGAAACTCAGCTTGCTCTGCACCATCCTTGGGCAGAACTGCTGCCCCTCCATGCAGCAGGGATATGCCATATTCCTTCATTTTTCTATATGAAAATTTCAGTGCCCATTCCAAAATCTCAGTGGTCAGAAGCAGACGCTCTGATGAGTCCACCACACAAGCCACAGAATTATCCAGATGGATGTACCCTGGGAAAAGCCCATTTCCTCAAACTTGAGAAAAACCTTGCAAGGATGAAAGAATTAAGAAATTAATTTTACTAAGAAATATTCAATTTTTCCCTTTACCTTTATTTTTAATTTTATCATCAAGTCAAAATTTCACATCTTTGACCTTCCCTTAATGAACAACCACATGAACTATTCAAGGCATTTTTATATTTAAGAAAACACTTTTTTCCCCAAAGTCTCTTTTTCCTTCCCACCCACACCTCAGTCAACTCCCAATTAAGGCAACTGCACAGGGGCTAAAGTGATTTTATCCTCATTTATCTAAATGCATGAGGCAGTAATAAAACCCACTGTGACAGAGGGTGAGAAGCAACCACCGGTACTACAGAACCACGCTCTCAGATGATTTTCCAGTGCAGCCTACAGAAGGGATATCTGCCCACACTCTCCCACAAAATGCTGGATCCTCAGCTGACCTTAATCAGAGCCAGGTCCATTTCCATCGCTGCAGGACACACCGTGGGGTTTTCTACTCTAATTTGCTACAAGCCATGCTCTGCCCTGCCACTTTGCTGCTATTCTGGGCTGGTATCTACCTCTTCCACATCCCAGTTTAAGAGCTGCGGTGGTGCCCAGCACTCATTGCTTTCTATCTGGGATTGCACTAAGCTGCAGCTCAGATGCCGGGAGCTCCCAATTTCTTTTAACCACCCTTGCTGGCTCACTCTCCGTTTCGAGAGGTAGAGGGGAACAGGACAGTAGACTGGAGAGAAGTTCACAAATTGCTTTGGCAACTGTGTTCTTCTTTGGGTTTTTTATCAACTCTACAGAACTGTCGTGCATTTCTGAAGCTTTGTAGTTTTAAAAAAACCCCAAACCTTTCAAGAGGAACAAAGTCTCCCTTTAAAACGAGGACAATGCCAGAGATAATTAGAAGCTAGGGACTGAAATTTCAGAATACTGAGGTTTTTTGGGGGGATTTTTTTCGGGGTAGAGATAGATAGCCCAAATCAGAGATTAATTATAAACCCAACCAGCTGTTAACCTGTTCCTGACTCTCTCAGAAAACATGACAAGAGCCAGCATCTCACCTCGCAGCTGCTGGAAGCAGCTCGTGCTGCTCTCCCCATCGAGTGCGTGCCGCAGGACCCCGTTGCTCGGCTTGGGTCTCTCGTAGTCCCTCTCGGGAAGCATGGCTTGCTCGCTCTCCCCGGCGTGATCCGTCCGCGGGGGCAAGGACTGCGGGAACCCAAACATCGGCAGGGACGAGAAGAAGAGTAAGGCACCACACAGCAGGAAGCCTCCCCACCATGCACCGATCCACCGAGGGTCGTCCGGGGTTATGTCCAGCTTACCTGCGAGGGCACACACACACGTCAGTGGCTTGGCTGTGGGGATGGGACAGTGTTAATGATCCTGTAGGCTGGAAGATGGTTGCTGGGGGCTTTGTGGGCTGGTAAGGGGCTCCCACATACCAGGTGGGGAGTTTGTGTGCATCCCACACCCATCCCATGAAAGCCACCACTGCACAATCATAGAATCACAGAAAGGTTTGGGCTGGAATGGACCATAAAGATCGTCTAGTCCCAGCTCCTGTGCCATGGGCAGAGACACCTGCCACTAGACCAGGTTTCTCAAAAATGACCTCCACAACCAAGAGGTCCTTAGGACAAGCAAACCATCACCTTATCTAAATGGCACGTCCAGCTTCTGCAACACCCTGTAATCAGAGCTTCTCTCCAGTGTCTTTGGCTCTGCCAGCTCTAGGAAGCTGCCACGTACCAATCAGTGTTCCCTGAGCTGGCACTGAGGTTTTGGACATCACCGTCCCAGCGTGTCAAACGTGCACATGCAGCTGACATACCTACAAGCCCAAAGACCCGCATGAAGAAGCAGCAGCAGAGACAAGGACATTGCATCTCTGTCCCAGCTTACCCTTTTTTTCCAGGTCAATGTTCTCCCTGCTTTGAATTCACAGCCCTTTGCAGCAAAGGAGAGACGAGCATTTGGGCTTTATGGGCACCTGTGACTGTGTGGAAGATAAAAAAAGCCCTAAATATTGGAAGAGAAACCCTCTCACTGCATTAAATGGGCTCAGAAAGGTAGAGAAATAATCAGAAAATGAAGAAAAGCTAAGTAAAAGGCAAGAGTATCCTGCAGGTCATCACTCAGCGGAGATAAGGAAAAAGAAGTCTCTGGAGTCAGTTTGGGGGGTAAAAATAAGCAGCAGGAGAGAACAACCTGCATTCCTAACAGCTGCCTCGTGGTCACACCGGTGGAGGGTGCCCAGCGCCAGGGCTGACTCTTGGAGGAGATCTGGGTCCACGTGGCTGGAATAACAAGCTTCTCCGTTCACAATGTCTGGTTACCGCCACAGTGAAAAATCTGTCTCAAGTGAGGCAATCAAGTTGTCTCTCAAGCTGAGACTGAAGGAAACTCTTTTGTCCTTAGGGAAAATAGCATGTAGCTCTCCAATATATAAAAAGTTTGAAAAATAGTGCTTTGGAGGGATTGGATTCTTCTGCTGTTATTTCCTCCTGCCTGAAAGGCATTTTTTTCCAGGCTCTTGGGAACACAGCCATGTGAAGAACCACATAAACCAAGGTCTTCTACACATCCCCTTCCTAAAACAGGTCCTGTACAGAGGGCTGTGCAGCAGTGTGCCCTGGCACCCTGCACCTCCTGCTTGAAATGAGGACGGGGAGCAGGACAGGGCTCAACCCTCTGGTGCTCCGTCTCCTTGCACCACCCTGAGCTGCAAGGCAAAAAACTCTTTCCCATACACCCACTATGAGGGTGGTGAGGCAGTGGCCCAGGTTGCCCAGAGAAGCTGTGGATGCCCCATCCCTGGAGGTGTTCAAGGCCAGGCTGGATGAGGCTTTGAGCAACCTGGGCTAGTGGGAGGTGTCCCTGCCCATGGCAGGGGAGTGGAACTAGATGATCTTTAAGGTCCTTTCCAACCCAAACCATTCTATGATTCTATAAGAATACAGGAAGGTCATGCATGTCCCAGCCTTCACATAACACCGATGGACCATGGCCAAAACCAGACGCACCTGGAAAGTGCTGTACCCTCCCTGTGACCTGCTGAGCCACAGCCCCACCAGGCTTCTCAGCAATAATGCTTCACCGTTCTCCTCCATGGTTCCATATTTGTCTGGAGCTTTTGGAGCTGCAAGTATGGAGTAACGTCTTGCACTAAAAATGGCCAGGTCATGTCAATTTAACTTTTTAGTTAGGCCAGCATCTTGCCTCTGATGGGAGCCAGCTGCAGACGCCAGAAAGTCCACAAGAATAAAGTCACCATTTTCCTGACACTATTCTTGCAATTTGTGTCTCAAAGGATTTCTAAGCTAGATTTAGTGCCGTGCTCATTTTTTCTTCTATCAACTCATCCAATTGATTTTGAACCCATTTGTAAACTTTTAACACCCTGCAGTAAGGAGTTCCACGGCTTTACCTACTGGGAGATGAAATGTCTTCTTCTACACATTCAAATTTTGGAGCAAATCATACTTTATGGTCAAATATGTAACAAGGTTCAAACAAGCTGCTCTGCCTACAGAACCAAGCAAGTCTTTGTCATATCTTTGTTAAAGCCAAGGAATTAAAAGAGGCCATGCAGTGTTTGACCAAGCTGCAGCTAGAAGACTCAGCCATCAAGAGATACTTCATTTCTGCTCATTTGATATTATTTAGACTTCGTCAGCTACCATGAAAAGGCATTAGCACTCTTCCAGATTTGCACAATTCTGTTCCAAGTCCTACAAGGTTCAACTCCATCCAAACGTATCCCGTGAAGGTGTATTTGCAACATCACAGAACTGGAGTGCACCCTCAAAGGGGACAACACCCCTGCAGCAGGATGAGAACCTGTGGGATCACATGGAACTGAAAACTGTAGAAAAAGCATCTGAATAACCGAAGGAAAAGAATGAAACATCAAGTTTGCAGGTTATAGACAAAGGGCTTGGGGAAGAGCGGAGAACAACCTGTCAGACATTGCCCTCTAATGGCAAAGAGCACATAGCGCAGGTAGCAAAAAAAACCTGCAGATTTTTTAATGAACAAAAAGACAAATCTGCAAACAATTTGCTTTAATCCAAGTGCCCAGTCAAGGTGAGCAATAATTAGCACTTCTTTGGGAAAAAGCAATAATGCTGTGAGATTGAACCTGTCCATCCAAACAGGGTCATTCACATATGGTGCCAGGCATGGGTCTTACTGGTGTGCCTCCAGCAGAGCCTGGACGGTCCTCTCAGATCTCATGGATGGCAGTTCTTTGGGTTTCATCCTGTGCTCTGGACACAGCTCCCCTGGCCGAGACTATGTCCACGGCTAGGTGGTGTGCCCTGCCACAGTGATAGTTTAAGGTGTTCTCTAACAGTTGGGCGAAACTCATCTCACAGTAGAAAAGTCCATACAAGGGAACAAGTTTTAGCTGCTATGGACCTGTTATCTAAGGGGACAGAACTGAAAACTGAATCCCAACCACAAAACCCCTCTAGAAGTGACACCCATACATACAAGAGGCACCCAAGATGGAATGAGAAGCAGTTTCCAGCTTGTGAGCATGAACATTTTTGCCCTGCTGATAGAACATTAAACACACTTGATCTGAAACCAAACCCCGTTCTCCTTACTTGTGTCAATGAAGACAGCATCCACATAGATTTTGGTACAGAAGGAGCCCAAGATAAATCCACAGGCTGGTCCAAATACCAGCATCGTAAACAGGATCCCTACAAGGAGAGAGAAAAGAAAATATTAGTACTAGGCTCAGGTTATTCATTACAAGTTGTTCTGCTTGTCTCCTGCAAGATGCCGTTGCCCTCCTGATGCCAAATAGACAGGGATGTGTCTCTGTGTCGAATGCTTCAGGCAAAAGAGCACCCTAAATGCTTTTTGCTTTGCTGTATCTCTTCAGGAACAAGAGTAGATGGAGCTGTGATAACGCTGAAGGATTTCTATTGAGCTGACAGTGTGGATGTACCCTGTTTTGGTCGGCTGGGTGATCTAGAAGATGTCTTACTCAAAAGCACAAGGTAAAGCAGACCTGCCTTCTTCTCCAGGGAAGTCTTTACCTTTGCCACCTCAAGCTAAATTCCTTGTAGGCAGGAATATTTGCAGAATTTAGGGCCAGCAAATCTACGAAACACAGAGTTGTCACAGCCTGCTGGATAAAGTCCCTTTGCAGAGGTAGGAGCACTCTTCCCAATCTGTGAAGCGCTTCTCCCCATCACACCCACATGGCAAACACTCCCCAAGGCACACGGCTCTTCCACCTTCTCACGACTGCTTGTTCCTCCTGCAAAACTTGCATGAAATTGCCAGTGTAATGCCAGGCGAAGAGCTATTATGAGCAAATTACTTATTTGCTTCAATACAACATTTAGAAGCATTTACTCTCACTCCCATTTTGGCCCTGAAACAGGGCACACCGCCAACGCTCCATTATGCAGGGTGGAAAGGCAGGGGGACACCAGGATAATCCAGAACAAGAAGAAGCAAAGATAACACAAGCCATTTGTAAATTAGACAATAAGAATATATTCGGTACCTTTGCGTTTGGGATAGAGAAACAACAAAAAGTCCCCAAGGACCCCTGTAAATGTCTGGGCAGCACGGAGCGAAGCCATGCCAGTTCATTTGCTTTGGGGCCAAGAGCTGCTGATGGATCCATGTGTGGGGTGAGGGAGATGGCTCTTTAGGACCCTCAGCCAGGGATGTGCCAGCCTGTGCCAGCACCAGTCTTGGTGTCACGACGCTTCAGAAACGCCCCACGAAGGAGATGATTCACATATGGGTACTTTGCTCACTCTCAGTGGGGTACGTCCCACATCTCTCTCCAAATCTCTCTGGGGTGCTGCCTGGCATCTCGGTGCATTTGTAACACACTTCATCACAGCTATCTCAGTTCTCAAGAAACTTTTAATCCCCAAGTTCTGTCTCTGTGCCTTTATCAGGAGTTAGAGAAATGATCAGAGCTGCAAAATACTCTCAGGAGACCACCATCCCTATGCAAGGCAGACTGCACCTGCCGATGACAGCTTAGCCAAGCAGAATAAGCTGGTATGGTCAGAAACAACTTCACCTTCACTTTTAAAATGCAGAGCACAAACTAATTCCTCTGGGTTTGTGGCATTATGGCTGGATTAATAACCAGGTACAAAGCAATGGCATCTCCAGCCAGTCACTCGTGCAGAAACCCAGCGGCTATTACCTACAGAAGCAAGAGGAAGAAACAAAGGTGGTGGGAAGAAAAGCGTCAGGTCATATAAGCCATAGTACCGAGTCACTGCTGTCAGGGACAGTGGCAGAAGCTGCCACCCATCGCCCTATCTCAGCTCAAAGCTGCAGCAATGGCACCACCTCGCAGCCCATGCTGCCAGCTTCAATTAGTCCCCAAGGTCTCTGCCCGAGATGTCCATTCCAGGAATGGAGCAAGCCATCTCCCCTCCTGCGGTCACGTTGTCTCCGGGAATTAGGTTTGTGCTCCACAGTCCAGCAGTGATTTGGGGAATTTGTGCTCATCAATCAACAGAGCTGCTTAGGAAGCCAGTGCTTTGCTCCCCCAGGGATCTATAAAGCCTCACATGGGAGATCCCAGCCCCTGGTTACCTGCAGAAGCACTTTGTGGGATGTGAAATGAGGGAAGAGACAGGTTGGGAGAGCAGGGAAAAGGGATTTATTTTCCCAGCACATCCAGCATCATCTCCCTCCTTCCCAGCCCCAAGCCCTGCCCCACTTGGGACTATAAAATTGTGTCATTTTACAAAATATCCACATCATTTTTTTTCTGGTCACTAGATGGCAATAGTGTCTGTCATTCAATCCTTTGGCTGTTTGCACATAGGAAATCACAGATTTTAGAACAAACTGTTCTAAAACTGTTAAGGTTTTAGTCAAAGAGTTTAAACAGACAGCATCTAGCAGAGGAATGGCCGTGACTATTACTCTGATGAGCAATCAAAGACCAGGTTTATCTTTGACAAGTGAACATTAATTATGAATTTCTATGTAATTATGGTCAAGCACACATAGACACACTGGGCTTCATATTAGTTGGAGCAGCACATGCTGTCCCCAGGAGCTGTGCCCCAGGCAATGACAGGAGTCCACATCTTGGATGAGCAGCCCTTGGATTTCATCAGGAGTCACAACACTGCTCTGCTCTTATTTCCCTACCCTAGAAGGAGTAGGGGGAAGGATAACCCAGGCAGACCTGAGCACCTCCTCCTTCCCAGTCCCAGATCCTCAGCCCAGACCCTGGCACCCAGCACCCAGAGAAATCTGCTCCTCCAGAGCTGCCTGAGGGCTCCCATCCGCAGGGACGACTCTCTCCAAGGAAAGGTTGTGGGCACCAAAGCACCCCGGGCTGCGACAGGTTCCCACAGGCACCAAGGAACCAACAGGGCTGCTGAACGGCTGTGCCACTGTCCCAGTGAGACCTGTGTGTGCAAACAAAAGGACCGTGTGGCCAACAGACAGCTGCTTCCACGTGTTTAACAGCTCTGGAGAACTGGGAACACACCAAAATCATCTTTTGGCACTGATGCAGGCTCATAGGGCTGAACAGGAAGAAAGACAAGGGCTGGTTCTAACACTCTGAGCAACACCTTTGCATGTACCAGTGTTGGGTTGAAGAAGGCTGGTCCCGGGATGATTTCCAAACCACAGGGAGGGTTGTCACACCATGTGTATACAGGCAAAACCACAGAACCAAAGAGTTTCCTGGAGCAAAAGGTAAGACAAAAACATAGAAAAAAGATCATCCTTCACCAAAAAACCCAAAACAAACAAAAAACCCCAAACAAAAACAAAAAAAAAACCCCAAACAAAAACCAAAAAACCTCAAACAGGGAATATTCTCCCCTTTTTCCAAAGCAGAAGAGAGCAGGGACCTTTTGCTAGCTGTCCATCATCAGCAGGGAGATGCTTGCAGAGGCAGTTAGCTCCAACAAAAAGCAAACTTCGAGAAAGCTGCAGCCAGTGCAGGTACAGGCATCGGCACCTGCAACAGGTGAATGCTGCCTTTCCTCGCACTCTTCGCATTGCACGAACCATCACTTCAGAAACAAACCGTGGCCTCAGTTACTAAAAATACCACATTTCATACCCCAGCAGCTAGAAGGCATCGTTTGCTCTGCAATGTCCTCGCTAGAGGGCAATGTGGGACAGAGCATCCGCTGAACAAAGAGGCAGCTGAGATCTTGCAATAAGATATGAAATTATTATTCACCTCTAGGCTAGCTTAAGAAACCCTAATATTAATTGTATTTTTATTTTTTCTATAGCTTGTCCAAAAATCAAGAAAACAACTGGCTCACCCCATGCCCTTTTTGTTATCTTTTTTAAAGACTCTTAACAAAATCCTGCCATTGCAGTAATGGTATTTTACACTTTATCTCGCAAATCAAAAGCAGCTTTTGGAAAAACCCAAGGCATGGACTGGCATGATGGATAGTCTAGGGCCTGTACAGAGCCGGACCATGCTCAAGGATCAGTGGAGCGCACCACTGGGCACATGAATTAGGCTATTAGGTGATTGGGATAATGTCTGTGGTTGAACATTTATGTGGAATTGAGGGCTCAAGGGGAAATTAGCCAACTTAGAATTAGCTTAAGACATCCTTCCTCTTTTGAGAAATTCTGCATGCTTGCTAGTCATCCCCATTACTAGGAAAACACTTCCACATTATCCACCCAGTCATACAATCACAAATACTAGCAGCAAACAGATCAAAGGTCTAATCCTGGCTCCGTCAGTCTCTTCTAAAATTCCCACTGACGGAAAAAAAAAAAGGCAATCAGTATAGGATACTGCAGCCTCTTCCCTTTCATTCTGAGCTTAAAATTTATTTCTGTCCCTCAGAGCAGCACATTAATAAATATCCTCCTCAAGGATACTGCCCTGGAAACAAATGCCTCTTGCTCTGCAGGGCTGGCCTCTTTGCTTGGTCCTGCATCTGACATTCGAAGGATGAGCAGGGCACGTCCCCAGTGTAGTTAGCCCTACACAGACCAGTGGAAACTAGAATGAAAAAGGTTTATCCTTCATGCAATTTGGTAGGATTTTTATTTTTAATCTTAGAATTATTTTTTAATTCATCACAAATTATGCAAGTTTTTAGAAATACTCTAGAAATGTGAATTAAAAAACCACAACGACCCTGCTTTGGGACAATTCAAACATTTTATTTGATAACTCCAATTTGGGCCCTTTTAAATCACAACTATATTTTGAAAACAGGTAATCATTTTCAGCTTTCCTGCTCTATCCCCTTCTACCAGTCTCCCTTCTCCTGAAAATGCAGGAAAAAAACCAAAAAGAAGCAAGCCAGGCTGGACTGAGAAATCAGAAATCTTTTCCTCCCCATCTTTTCAAATGGAACAATTTGCCAAATCCTTCTTTGTCCTGTCAACTCACAGGCATTTTCCAGGGGCTGAGGAAAGGATTGGGACAGAGGGGAGTATTAGATCTGACATCTTGCGATGGGATTTTATCACTAGTAATGCCCAAGACTGATAATGCAGTTCTCCATTAGAGCAAAGGGAAGGAGCAGCAAGTACCACTACATCTACATCTGCAGAGACCGTGGCACAGGGATGCTCAGTCGGTCATGCAAAGTGCACAAGAACACCAAGTCACTTCGCTTCGAAGCTTCACTGCTCTTAGTTCTGAAGCAGTTGAATATGGACCATCAGCAGTAAATCACACAGCATTTCCCAACCATGGGCA